GGCGAGACGGTTCCTGTGAGCACTACCGAGGTGACTGTATCGCGGATTGAGTCGTTGATGGCACCCCGTCCGACTCATTGTGATTCCTTGGAAAACGCCGCCGCCCAACTCCCCCGAGGTGGCACAGGGTCCCGACCCAGGAGCCGCCGTCACTTCCCCTCATTTCCTTCCAGGACGAGGGGCCCGGATGCCGACGGCGAGTACGCCGTGTACCCTATTGGCTGGAGACGACTGCAGTTCCGAATGTAAGTGATGGCGTGGGAAGGTCTTGACAGAGGATGAAACTGATAGCAGACCAGTGCAACGGCGAACAATGGCAGACGGAAGGAGCTCCAGCAACACTTTGTCCTACACTTGAAGGTAGTTGGCACTTTGACCAACGGCAACAAGGTTGTCTTGACCGAGGCGACGACGTCGCCGATTGTCGTGCGAGGACGAAGTCCCCGCAACTTTCAGGCTCGCAAGGAGATTCCACTTTTGGGATCTAGCGCAGGGTCGCGCGGACAAGCTCTGGTTGAGACTGGACAGGGCATCGTGGCAGGACCTCTGAGCGCTAAGCCGATCGATGTCAAGGCCAGAGGCATCGACATGCAGATGCCGCGAGCCGCGTTCACCTTCAACGGGGGTGGGCCCAAAATGCCGGGCAACCAAATGGGGACCATGAGATCGAAGTATGCGGGCTCCAAATCCATTCCCTGCCACGAGAAAGCCGACGCTGACAGACTGCTGTAGCTCTTACCCCAACTGGACCTCGCCTGGCCATGTGTCCATGTCCCACATCCCGGTGACTGGTGCAGGTAGCTACTCTGCTTCACCTTTGACAGCTGAGACTGTTGCACCGGGGCAACAACAGACACAGGCCGCCGCTCGTTCTCGTACGGCCACTCGACGACGGCTCCGCCACCGCTGTCCATACCGACAAGCGCCGACGCCGCACTGAACATACCCCGGTATGTCGACAGCAACCACCGCCCGACCAAGAGCCAAGACATGCGAGCCACCAGTCCCGTTCAGAGTGGCAGTTCCATTGCCAATACCGACCCATCAGCAGAGTATCGATATAGCTCATCATATGTGCCATTGCACGGAGGCAACGCAGGAGAGCTCCCGGCCCCCGGATATGGCGCGGATTCGACGTCGATTCCTCACTCGGCACCGCAAGGGACTACTACCCCCCTTCGACCACTTGGACGACAACGGCTGGCGAAGCAAATGCGACAGTGGCCTATACGAGCAGCGACAATCGGTCGTACTCGTCTCCGGGCCAGTACAAGAGCAATGCTCCAGCGGTGCCGGTCAAAAATGAGCAAGGGGCCCCGCCGCCAGGCTCAGGCGCTGTGTACAACGGTCCGCCCCGTGGATCGTTTGACGCGATGAACCACTACTCGTGGCATGCCATCTGACCGGTACCCACCAACCGAGAGCGCACATGGCGGACGCGATGGACAGCTTCCGCAACGGCCAGTGCGGCCCATTGAGAGGCACG